CACAGCTCTACGGCATGCAAGTCATGTGCCCTAACCACCATATGCTTGCTCTAGTCCAAATACCAAAATTTCTTCATCCATTCTTCTGTAGTTGGACATTTTGAATATTTCCATATGCTGGCTATTGTACTTAGGCAACAATTATATATATATATATATATATGAATAGATGTCATATATATTTGAATTAATTTCTATTTAAGTAGAAATTTTAATTTAAGCATTATGATTTACAATTGTGCCAAGACTAGATATATAGGTATACAATGATCCAACACCATCCCCAAATGACTGTTGATTTCCCTCCATCAGTGTCCCCAAGTTTTCTTCCTCTAACCCAGCCTGCCTCCTTTAAAAGCACATTTTTAAGATTAATTATTGGAGTTTGGGTCCTATGTTTACAATATTGTTCCATGTGCTTTGACATATACATATACAAAATCTGTACACCACGAGTGTGCAAAGCCACCCCTACCTCATGCCTCTGTTTTTCTCCTTTTTCGCCATTTCTCTGCATTCATGGGCTGGAGCAGTAGCACTGCGGTTAGGTAGGGCGTTTGCCTTGCACGAGGCCAACGAGGGTGACCCAAGTTTGATTCCTCCTCCCCTGACCCTCTCGGAGAGCCCAACAATCTACCAGCAAGCTCACCCGCAGAGCAAAGCCTAGCAAGCTAACCGTGATGTACTTGATATGCCAAACACAGTAAAAACAAGTCTCACAATGGAGACGTTACTGGGCCCACTCGAGCAAATCGATGAACGATCGGAGGACAGTGTTACAGTGCTACAGTGTTCTTCATTCATCTAGGGGTGAGGGTTTGCCCCACATTGGTAACTTGCATCCCTTCCGTGTTATTTTATATAACAAAGATAAGTGAGGTAATTCAGTATTTGGTCTTCTTCTTCTGACCTATTGCATTATCTTGATTTTCTCCAGCTCCATCCAAGTTTCTGTGATTTTTTGACTCCATCATTCCTTGGAACCACAAGGTATGTCATTGTGCATCTATTGAAAATGTTTACCATTAACTAATCTGATGTTGGACACCTAGATGGAATCCAGTGCCTAGCTATTTTATTGTGTGTTGCAATGTACAATGGTGGGCATATGTCCTTTCTAATAAAACGCTTCATATCTTGAGGATAGAGAATATTTTTTGGATTGGGCATTCATATGGCCACAAGTAGGATAGCTGAGTCAAGTGAGAGCTGGTGACCTGGTGATACTTTCATAAATTGTGAAGAAGGGATCCTATTTTTCCCACCCCTCCCACACTTGTGTTTAAAGATACATAGATATATGTAGATGATAGATAGATAGATAGATAGATAGATAGATAGATAGATAGCAAAATGTGGCATGTTATTGACATTGTAATTTCTGTTTCCATAAGGAAATGACCACTACTTTTTCACATGCCTACTGGCCACTCACATGTCTTCTTCATGGATGTGTTAATTCATCTCTTCTCCCCTTTTTGATGGGGTTGTTGGCTATTTGTTATTGCTGTTTAACTCTGTGAGTGCTCTACATATTTTGAGTGTTATCTGAAGCATTATGTGTGAATATCTTCTCCCAGTCAGTTGGGTGTCTTTGTATTTTTGCCTAGTTTCTTTTGCTAAGCTAGACCCTTTCAACTTCATACAGTCACACTTGCTTATTTTTGCCAGTGGAATCAGGCCTTTAAAGACTCCTTTGCGAAATATAATTGTTTTGATATCTTCATCCTTCCTTTAGACCACTTTTAGTCACTGAAGTGCTTTCTTCATCCATGCCCACTGAATCACCCTTAAGCCAAGTGTGAATTCTCTTAATTACTTTGATAATTAACCAATTCATTTGTGCTTCAAAGGGGCTGTGGTCTCTCTCTCTCTCTCTCTCTCTCTGAATAATTTACTAACAAAATTGTAAAATATCAGTGAAGACATCATTCCCTAGAGTTAAGATTCTAATATTTAAATCTTAAACACACACACACACACACACACACGCACACACTCACCTATTTGGAATAAAATCAGCTTATTCCCTGGGGTCATTTAATTCTCATCACATGACTGTGCTGTGGTGGATGAGACCCCAGATTTATGCAAAAGGAGACTGGATTCATAATGAAGGAAAAAAATGTAGCCTCATATCAGGAATGATAGTACATGTCAAACTAGTCTCTAATGTCTCTAATGGCTAATATGTAAATACTGAGCTTTAGATTTCTATGTGATAAAAATAATAACAACAATTGTATAACTGAAATCCAAGCACAGAAAATTGTAAGTCTACAACTTTACCTCATGGTGTTTCGCTAATAAAAATTTAAAAAATAATAATAATAATAACAAATGGTGAGACGATTAAAGATGATATTGATTGATTCAGTGACTCCAAAATATGGAACATTCACTCCAGAAAAGAGAAGGTGCCGCCTTACAAGCAGACTCTCTATGCAGTAAAGGCCAGTGAGAAAATTAATCCCACAGAAAGCTGGTGAGGATGACAGGACCATTTTCCCTTACAATTGGCAGAATGGCTATTGACAGATGAACTCATTAGTGTGGGATCAATGAGTCCTGAAAGGGTGGTTTGCTATTGAATTTTGAACAGCCCAAACTCTTTAATTCATATCAATATCTATATGAGTACTAACAATTATTTTCAACGACTTTATCAAATTTTTGCGCTAGTCTCAGAAGACAGTATTTGAGTAAGAGCTTCAGTATATCCCCAGTAAAGAACCCAGAATAAAGGAACAGATTCTTAGACTCTTGTAATCAATCCAAGATGAATGAGGTCAAAACAGTAACCCTAAAAAGGCCAATCACAAGTAAGGTATTGAAACACTAACGAACAGTCTCCCCAAGAACAAAAGTCCTGGTCCAGATGGGTTCCCCAGTGAATTCTATTAAACCTTCAAAGTCGCTTTACTGACTGCACTCCTTAAGCTCTTCAAAAATATCGAAGATACAGGAATTCTTCCTGATACTTTCATGAAGCTAACAATAGACTAACACCAAAAGCAGAAAGTGATACTCCCAGAGAAGAAACTTTCAGACTAAACTCCCTGTTCAATATAATGTAAATATGCATAATAAAGTCTTAGTTATTCATATCCAAAACATCCAAAACAGAAAACTCATACACCCTGATCAATTGGGATTCACACAGTCATGCAAGGATGATTCAACAAAAACAAATCAGTTCAGGTTATACACTATATTAAGGAACCTTCCTCCAGATAATAATGGCCATGTAGAACAAGTCTACAGTCAGTATCATACTTAATATTGACAGATTGAAAGAATTTTCTCAAAGTTGGGGTACAATGCAAGCATGTTCACTCTCTTCACTTCCAGTTAAATTATTATTAAAGTCTGATTATGGCAATCAGGCATGAAAATAAAAATTAAACGGATGCTAATTGAAAAAGGAGAACTCTAACTATCATTAAATGCAGACGACATGATAACAAACATAGAGGACTATAAATAGCCCACAAAAACAAGAAATAATAAAGCAAAGTGGACGGGTACAAAATCAATAGACAAAAATCAGTCACATTCTATTCTACAAAGAATGAAGCAGAGGAGAAAGCAATCAAGGAGTCTATTCCATCGAAAACGGTATCCAGAACCAACAAGACACTCGGAGTCAGCTTAACAAAAGATGTGGGAGATCTATACAATGATATCTTAAGTCACATAAAAAAGAAATAGAGTGATACCGCAGGAAGTGAAAAATATACCATTCTCATGGATTGTATTATCTCAACCAATAATATTAAAATGATTAACCTACCTAAGCTATTACAACGATTCAATGCAATCCCCATCCAAATTTAGACAGGATTTCAAAATGTCAATAAGTTTATATCAGATCAGAAAGGACTGCGAATTAGCCAAAAAAACACTAAAAAGCAAAAAATTGAGAGGTAATTCATGACCAAATTTGGAACTGCATCATACACCTATACTGATCAAAACTTAATGGTACTGGAATAAGACAGACACTCTGGTCAAGGGGTAAATTTCGAATATACTATGACAAAACTCCATAGACGCAGTTAGTTAATTTTCATAAAAGTGCTGAGACCATAAAATGAAATAAAGATAGCCTCTTTAACACACGTTGCAGGGAAAATTGGATAACTGCATGTAAGAAACAAGAGCTGGATCAATATTGTACACCTCACACAAAAGTCAGTTCAAAGTGGATCAAAGACTTTGAGATAGAACAGAAACTATGAAGTACTTGAGGAAAATATAGACAGAGCACTGCAAGATTAGGGCCTGAAAGGTGGCTTCAAAGAGCTGATAAACTAGCAAAGGCAACAAAATCAAACATTCACAAATGGGATGACAAAAAGTTAAAGAGCTGCATGTCAAAACCAACAAGGGTAAAACTAAAAGACACCAACGGAACTGGAAAAATATTTACAATCAAAACATCAGATAGAGGTTTGATATACAGGATCCATAAAATACAAAGATCAACACAAAGAAATTCAAAAATCCTATCAATAAATGGGGTCAGGAAATGAATGGACACTTCTCAGTGCAAGAAAGGTGGAGAGCCAGTAGGCACATGGAAACGTGATCATCAGTCAGAGAAATCCAAATCAAGACAATAATGAGGTATCACCTCACACCAGTGAGAATGGTACATATCAAATACAGTAGGAACAAGTTGTGTTTGTGGGGACGTGAGAAAAACTGAGAGCTGTCAACCACGGCTGATGGGAAGGTGGTTTGGAAACCCCTGTGCAAAACCTTATGAAGAGTTCTCAGTAAACATAGTGGAGAGCATCACCGGTGGAGGGATGTGTATTTTATCAATGTATAATTGAAACCCAAACACAAAAATGTGTAAGTCTGCAACTGTACCTCATGATGTCTCACAATTAAAAAATTTTTTATAAAAAAAAAAAAGGAAGAGCTGAGTTGATGGACCAGAGGGTTCTGGGGAGTTTTTGTTTCATTTCCCCGTGGGTCTGAAGCACTGGGTATTAATTGTTACCATAATTAGACTGACAAAAATAGTCAGCCTCATCCTCAGGTTGCACCCCAGAGATGGTCAGGTAGGTAGCATTGGAGGAACTCTCGATGGACCCAGAAAACCTATCGGGAACTCCAGAGGGTCTTTGATTATCTGCATAGATCAATTTTGTGGGGGAACTCCCAGGCCGCTGCTGGTACCAGTGCACATAGTTAGACCCAATGTTTCCACTGCTGCGGGTACAAGAAATGGTGACCTTCTCCCCTGGAGACCCAGACACAGAGGGAATCTGATTCAGCACAAACTGGGCCCAAGTACCTGAAAGAAAAGAACACAGAGATTAGTGACCCAGAAGGACCTGATTCCAGGAGGGAGAGAGAGGTCATCACTAGTAGCCACCCCCTGCCGAAACTGAAAAATTCCCAGCAGGCACTACCTGTACAATAGGCCAGAAAGGTGAGGAGCAGCAGAGTCCTGGCCATGCTGAGACACCCCCACACTTTGTGCCCAGGGCTTGACAGCCACCCTGTGTCCTCAAGGACTTTATAGGGCCTCCTAATCCACAGGGTGGGAGGTTTTTATGCAAATCTGCCCCTCTTAGGAAGCCAGACAAGCCCCTCCTTAAAATTGGCCAAGACTCATCCTGAGTAAAGAGTCTAGTTCAGAGAGGATTTCTCCAAACAGAGCAAGAGTGACATCTGATGGGCAAGGGGAGAACCACAGATGAGCAACCCGAGAGCCAAGCTGACACAGCACCGCCCCCTAGTGGACACAAGAGGTGTGTCCCTCCTCTACCCAAGCCACATCCTCAGAATTCCAGATCATAACCAAGATTCCCTACATTGCATTTTAATCTCACTTTGCATTTTATACTTCTTAACTGTACTGATGGGGCAGAACAAAGTTGAGTTCTCTGGAATATCATAAAGTGAATGAGCTACAGTAGAAGGAATGGGAGTCATTTCTGCACTGAATTTATCTATTTATTTATTTATTCATTTTTTTATTAGTTAAACACCATGAGGTACAGTTGTAGACTTACAAACTTTCTTGCTTGGGTTTCATTTATATAATGATCGAGCATCCATCCCTCTACTAGTGCCCATTCCTTACCACCAATGATCCCAGTAGCCCTCCCACCCCCAACCCCATCCCTCCCACACCACCCCTTCTCTGTGGCTCCCCTTTTGCTCTCTCTTTCCTCTAGAGTGTTGTAGTTTGCAATAGAGGTATTGAGAGGTCATCGTCTTTGGTCTACTTTCAGCACGCATCTCATATGTCGAGCGAGTTTTCCAAACACCCTTTATTTTGTGTTCCCTACTCTATCTGAGCTACCTTTCCCCTCATCATGTGCTGCCGGCTTCCAATCCATGGAACAGACCTCCTGGTATTTATCTCAACTATTCTTGGGTGTTCAACTTCCATTCTGTTACTTTATATTCCCCAGATGAGTGCAGTCATTCTATGTCTGTCCCTCTGTTTCTGGCTCATTTCACTTAACATGATACTGTCCATGTAGAACCACTAGTATGTAAATTTCATGACTTCATCATTTCTAACAGCTGCATAGTATTCCATTGTGTAGAAGTACCAAAGTTTCTTTAACCAGTCATCTGCTCTTGGGCACTCGGGTTTCTTCCAAATTTTGGCTATTGTGAACAGTGCAGCAATGAATCTGCACTGAATTTAACTCCAAGGTAGGCTTGGGAAGAGAAGAGCTTCCCACACTAGCAGAAACAAAGTCATTTATGGTGGATTTGCAAAAGGAAACTAGGTACAGATATAACTATTGATTTGGCTATCAGTGCAGTATGATTCTAGGGGCTGGGTTTCCTCATATTAAACTAGAAATTCAGAGTGAATTGTTTAACTTCTAGGCTATCAGGTTAGTGAAATGGAGGTGTTATGGTTACTCACAGGAGACAGTAATGTCTAATGGGGAAATATTATACTGAATACTTACATTTACAGAGTAAGGAGCCGTCTCAGAGCTGAGAAACTGGAATTCTAAGAGCAGGTGCCCAGAATGTCTAGAGCAGCTAAGGGGTGACAGTGACCCAAGCCACCTTTTGTAGTGAGTTCATATGACTTCGTTCGATATGTATGATACATATTTGTCAATATCTTGACCTCCTATTCGCAGGTGAAGACTCAAAGATGGAATATAAGCAAAGATCTGGAGTCTCTAGGTGATGGATTTTGGGACAAATCTCTGCTGAATGGAAAAGTCATACCCTAAACTTTCTACAGCAGGACTGAGAAAGTTTGGGAGACTCAACCTGAGCAAGTGTGTCAGCTTAAACCAGTGCTGGGGGAGGGGAGATACTCCCCAGACATCCTCTGCGTGCAGAGCAGAGTAGTGGGCAGGTTTTTGTCTCACTTCCCCATGAGTCTGGATCACTGTGAGGGTAAGCGCTGCCATATGTACCACAGTAATAGGTAGCCTCATTCTCAGGCTGCAGCCCAGAGATGAGCAGAATCCCTGCATTGGCTGAAGTATCTTTGGATACAGAGAAGCGGCTTGGGATCCCGGAGCCTTGGCCCTTGTCTGAGTCTGTGTGATAGTTCAGGAGATCTCAGGGAGGGTTTCCTGGCTTCTGCTGGTACCAGATGATCCTTCGGTCCCCAACACTGATGCCACTTCTCAGGGTATATGACAGTCTGACAGTTGTCCCAGGAGATGCAGAGAGAGAGAGAGGGCAGCTGAGTCAGCAGAATTTGGGAGCGGGCACCTGCAAACACAGACATATGTGGGTGTGAGACAGAGACCAGTGTCATCTGCTTGAGACTCAGAGCCAGAGACTTGAACACTGACTCTGAGCTTACTCTAAGTCTCTGGGAACCATCCCTACCTGTGCCATGATAGAGGAGCAGAAGGAGCACAGGTATCCGGGCCATCCTGCACACAGACCCTCAGAGACCCAGAACTGAGGCTGGGCTGACACAGGCATCTCTTATCTCCCGGAGGACCTCAAGGAGAAGGAGATCTTCATGCAAATTTTTTACCCATATTGGAGATCTCTACTTCACCCTGAGGACCAGCTGAGGTCTGCTCTTCCTTTTTTCCCTCCTTTGGCATACTTAACATTTTAAAAGTTATTTTCGGCACTTTGGTTTATAGTACTGATAATGTTAGGGTGTCAGGCTAAAAATATTCAAACTAACCCTACACCAGAGTGTCAGCTTCCCTCCAACATGTCCCGCTTGTGTCCCCCCAATATTTATACACCTCATGGACCATATCTCACTGTGTTATAAGTCCGCACCATATTTCTTTGTTGCAGAATCTCTAGGTACAAATGATGTTTCCTTTGACACACCAACAACCATGAAGGAATGACTCATAAAAGCCCAAGCAAGGAACTAAAGAAATGGTTGCACGAGTCACAATTGGGAAAATGCACGCAGAATACTGAATGAGGAAATGTATTGGAGTAAAAGAGTGATACTAAGATTATCCTTGACCCTGGTGTTTCGAAACGATACAGACAGAAAATGAAAGAAATCAAGCAGGGAAGAGGTGAACAAGAAATATGGGTTAATGGACAGCAGGACTTCAGTTTAACATTAATGTGAGTGAGGGGTAGAGCCATATAACCAAAATACATTTTTTTCTTTCTTTCTTTTAATAGTGAATTTTACATGATATCCATTGAAAACAAGTAAATCAGAGACAGTATTTTTACAGAAACAGAAAATATAGATGCTGTGGAAAACTGTTAATATATACTAGCATGTGTTCTCTCTAATGGTCTCTCCACTTGTATGTATACTTCAGTATTTTTTTTTTATCATTTTTTTATTAGTGAAACACCATGAGGTACACTTATAGACTTATAAATTTTTGTGCTTGGGTTTCAGTTATACAATGATCAAGTACCCATCCCTCCACCAGTGCCCATCCTCCCCCACCACGGGTCCTAGCATCCCTCCCACCTCCCATCCCCCCACCCCGTCCCACCCTGCCGCTGTGGCAAAACTGGACGGCTACATGCAAAAAAGTGGGCTCAGATCTCTCCCTAACGTCATGCACAAAAGTAAGATCGAAATGGATTTATGACCTCAACATCAGACCGGATTCTATAATGTTTATTGAAGACAAAGTTGGCAAAACTCTCCACGATATTGAAGTTAGTGGTATCTTCAAAGACGTCACGCCACTGGCTGAGCAAGTGAAAACAGAGATAGACAAATGGGACTATCTTAAACTAAGAAGCTTCTGCACCTCAAAAGAAACAGTGACCAAAATACAAAGACAGCCTACAGAATGGGAAAGAATATTCACCAAATACACATCCGACAAGGGGTTGATTTCAAAGATATACAAGGTACTGGTTAAACTACACAAGAAATCACCCAACCCCATAAAAAAATGGGGCGAGGAAATGAACAGAAACTTTCGCAAAGAAGAAATCCGAATGGCAAAAAGGCACATGAGAAAATGCTCTACATCACTAATCATCAGATAGATGCAGATCAAAACAACAATGAGATATCATTTCACACCACAGAGACTGGCCCACATCCACAAGAACAAAAGCAACAGGTGCTGGCGTGGATGTGGCGAGAAAGGGACCCTCCTTCACTGCTGGTGGGAATGCAGGCTGGTCCAACCCTTTTGGAAAACAGTATGGACGATTCTCAAAAAATTAGAATTCGATCTCCCATTTGACCCAACTATAGCACTCCTGGGAATATATCCCAGAGAGGCAAAAAGGTATACTCGAAGTGACATCTGCAATTGTTTGTTCATTGCAACCAAAATACATTTTCAAGAGTAATAAAAACATGGTATCTAAGCAGTAAACCCCGAAATTCTGTAACATACCTATCAATTTGACAGGCAGTAATAAAGTGGTGTTGGGGAAGGCAAGAGAATCTGGGCATACTCGTGGAAGGAATTTGACACGCTGGAGTGATTGGTGTTGAATTATTGTATGCCTAAAACGCAACCATCACTAATTTTGTAAATCACAGCTCTTAAATAAAAAATATATATGCATTCAATTCATATATGTATTCTCTTTTAAGAAAAGGAAAATCTATCACTGTAAGTGGCACAAGGAGTGCAAAAGAGGAAAAAACAGAGGCCGCTGTGACTGAGGCACAAAATCGAGATTAAAAGCAGGATTGCCCACAGACAACACCAACCCTGGCCAACGAGGATATGTGTGTGTTTCATCAATTCACTTCATCAGTACACTGGGCAGGTGGAACTGAAAACTCACAACTGTCTTGGTGGAAAGACTTCTACACACCTTACTCTTTCTCCTTTACAGTTCACCTTCAAACTCAATGGTGGACAGGAAAAATCAATATTAGATTCAATTAAATGTACAAAACTTTATTTTTTGCCACTGTGAACATTTACAATCAATATTCAGCACTTACTTTGTCTAATAATGCAAACCAAAAAACAGTCTTCTCTAAATTATCTGAAATTCCCTTTACTCTTCAGTTTTCCTGTATCATTGCATGTTAT